TTCTTTTATTTTCTTCCCCTGCCATAAATTTCCAAGGTGTGCAGTTGTGCCTCGATACGTCAGTCTTTCCTGTAAAGCTTTTGTAGGTGTTTTCATTCTTTTCTTGGCCTCTATCTATGTATACTTCTTTTCCATGATCTCCTTTTCCTTAGTCTCTGTCGAGTTCTGCTTTGAAAACTTGGATAAGTTGACAGCAGAAAGGATTGGGCTGATCCTACGGGGAAAAAAAAATCGTTTCATTTGAGCACTGGAGTAACTTAATCTGTTAGTCAGTAAAACTTATATATGCACGTATAATGTTCTTCTATTCTGGTATAAATTGATGGAAAAGGCTGTGTTTCCCTTGCTGTTTCTTCCTATTGAGCAAATATACCATCGCTGTGGATAGGAAATCATCTGGATGGGGTGGTTTTTAATTTGAGGGGGAGTGGTATTGTTTTGGGTTTTTTTCCCAGGATAATGAATCTTGCTTTTGCAGTGTCTACCAACTTTTCCGTTGACTGTTAACTGATTACATGTTTGTCTTTATACAGCTAAAGTGGTTCCTCAGCAAATCACACATACTTCTCCCCGGATCCAGTCTGATTACACAGCAGAGAGGAGTAATCTCATACCCCTCTCCAGTCACCGGGCATCTCCAAACCCAGTAGCAATGGAAACCAGAAATGACAACAGGTGAGGAAATAACAGCTCTATGAAGTAGAGTATGTGTGAGTAGATTTTGAGTGCCTTGCTGCTTTTCTAGGTTCTGATAATGCTGGAAATAATGTCTTAAAACATGGGATGGGGGTGATTTGGTAATTTTGAATTAATCATGATAGTTGAGATTCTTGATAGTTTATGACTGTTGAGATTACAAAACTCGGGGAGTGGCCCAAAGGCAGGGGTTGAACATGACCTGTTGAAATGGTGTGTATAATACTTGCTGGTTTTGATGCCTGTAGGCAATCGGTGCCTGTCCAGTTCCAGTATTTCTTACCGACATACCCACCCTCTGCCTATCCTCTGACTGCGCACACCTACACCCCCATCACCAGCTCAGTGTCCACCATTCGCCAGTATCCAGGTAAGACAAAATTTGGAGCAAGCTGACTTTGAGGCTTTGTTCAGTTATTAGCATATGTATGAGCTTTAGGGATGGGAGAAGCTAAGAGGGTTTTATGCTTGATTCTGACAATTTGTCACAAGTCTTTGATGACTTGTTGGCTGAGGGTAAAACTCATGGGCAAGGGGAGTTGAACTACTTCAGAGGTACTAAACACAGCTAATAACAGTTTTCTCAGGAGTTCACATTTGATGTACGAGGGTTTGCATCTCTCTAAGTAAAACTTTTGGGTTCTACAAATCAAAACAGTTCAACTCCTCCAAACTAGCTCTTTGATGCATCTTCATTCCATGCTGTTCTGACAAGCCCATTTTAATCTCTTTCCACATGAGTGTGCAGTTTGAGAGAGAAACCTGAACCAAAAATGGAAAAAATCGGATGCATTGCACACTTTTGCATTAGTATTCTATTTAAAGGAGTGGAGCAATTAATGTGTTTGAACTGTTGCAATAATTTGCAGATAGTCAAAAAATCATGTGTACTGTGAGCCCACATAGTCAACCCAAACTTACGTCACTCTGTGACAAAATTTGGAGTGCTTTTAGGTGAAACTTGAGTCATTTAGGACTGTTCTTTATGATGTGATAATCTCCACAGTCCAAACTCTAGGAATACATACAATTTGGATTTTCATGGAACATCTATATCTGCTGGCAGCATATTACCCTTCAGCAGTATAAGGGAATTTGGAAGGGCTTGGAGGTAGCAAAGCCCATTTGTTGAATGGGAAAGTATGCACTTTGAGTTTTGATGAGTTATGAGAATTGAGAGTTACTGGGGCCTGTTCTGTCATTGAAATTCCAGTGAAAAGTCCTGACTGCCATGTCCAGATTTGAGGTGGGCTTCAGGATAATGAAATGATTTGCAAAAGGGACAGGTGCGGGGTTTTTGTACCTCGGACTTTGGCTGAAGTTTTTAAAGGAGAATGTGTGGGTAAGTGGTGGTACTTGGTGTTGGCAGCTGTGGTTGAGGCGTGGTTACACAGCCCCTGATAGAACATGGTTGCAGACTATCAGGATTTCCAGTTTTGGTAGCATTTTGGGGTGATTAGGCTAACGCTAATTAAAAAAAAAAACGGATGTAGGTTCTTTACCAGGTGCTCATTGACAGAGACCTTTTGCTTGTTAAATTGACTTGAAGTGTCAGTTGAAGGTACTGATTATGGCAATAACTGGTGATAACTCAAAGCAGAGGTTTCAGGGTATCAGGAGGGTTGTGCACCTGTGTTGAGCACAGCCAGTTGAGGGCTTAGATGAAAGTGCAGAGGAGACTTTTAAAAAGGTCACTGAGCTTAGGAGTGCTAATATGGAATTTTGAGGAAGAATGTTTGCTTTGGCTTTCCAAATGCTGGTTGTGTTTATATAGTCTCCCAAAAGGATTTTGTTGGATAGAAAGTTCTGCAACAAGAGTGTTCCACATAAGGTGTTCTACTAAGAGAATTAATGTGCCATACTTTATACAGAAGCCATTTTCAGGGACCTGGTGCCAGATTTCAGGGCTTTGACAGCTATTTTTAGGGTGTCTTGTCAGCACAAGAACTTGATCGAAATCCTGTGACAATGAGAAAAACAGCTTGTTCTGTGATGAGAGGGCTCTCCATTGTTAGCAAGCAAGTCCATTGTTGGCAAGTTCGCACTTGCATTCTGTGTATGGCTGCAGAAATAGTGGTACTGTTCAGTAAAGACTGGAAATCTGGGGATACAGGAACTGCAGGTAGTCTAACGACATCGTTAAATGCTGCCTGGGAGAAATGTAATGCGCTGTATAGTAGATCTGGAAAGATGGAATCATAGTTGCTCAGAACTGTAAATTCAATTAAATGAATTGAACTTCTCGGAACAGGTGCTTCATTGGGAACATCATTCTGCCATAAGAAGATTTCGTGTTTGTTTTAGCTGTGGGATCCAGCCTATAGTTACAAGCCCTGTTCTGAGTCAGATAAAATTGTACTAACTTCAGAACAGCTTGTCCACTTGCACTAAGGAATTTTTTTTTTAATGACTATGTGGCTTGGGAAAAGGGATAAGGAAGTAAGCCCTGTTTTAAGGTACTTCCATTTGAGTCTCTGATTGCTTTTGTACAGTCAAAGGGTTGGTATTTTTTAACAGATGCAATGATAAGCTCTGTGGAAAGACTGTCTTTAGAAAAGAAATTGCTTAGCTTGTGATTTTTTTTTAATTCTTTTTTTTTAAAGCAGGGAAAATGCAAAGTGTTGGTACTTACAAGCATTGTAAAATAAGATAACGAGCAAAAATAGTGCACAGCTTTCTGAGACTGGAAGCTAGGTACAGAAATATAATTTGAGTCTAACCAAAAGTGGGACTTAAACTTGATCGTTTCCCTTGTTGCAATTTGAAATAGAAAATGGAACGGAAATAAACAGTAATGTTTCATTCTTCTGGCAGACAATCTGGTCTTTCCACTTAAATTTATTAGTGCAAGAAGCAGGCTGGCAAATAAATTTTTCAAAGCAAAATCGTTTTTGAAAGTAAATGTTTGAGTGAGCAGCGCGAGGGGGAACCGAGGCGACCCACTGGGTAGGCTGATGAGGTGTCTGTGTTGCTGTTCACAGTTTCAGCCCAGGCGCCCAACTCGGCCATCACAGCTCAGACGGGCGTTGGAGTGGCCTCCACTGTCCACCTCAACCCCATGCAGCTGATGACTGTAGACGCCTCACACGCCCGGCACATCCAGGGCATCCAGCCGGCCCCCATCAGTGCGCAGGGGATCCAGCCAGCACCAATCAGCGCCCAGGGGATCCAGCCAGCGCCCATCGGGACACAAGGACTCCACCCTGCCACACCAATTGGTGCACAGGGACTGCAGCCAGCGCCCATCAGTGCTCAGCAGCCACAAGCTGACGCCAAGACTTCAGGTAAGAGCAACCAGCAAAGTCTGCGCTTTGGACCTGGTCAGAGCAATGGAACTGCTGTCCTACAGATTTGGCGTGGGGTTTTTTTTTGTGGTTTTTTTTTCAGTTTGCCTAATGATCTTTTTTATAGTCTCTGTGGTCCAATAGTGGCCACTAAATACATTCATGTGCGTATTCTCCCAGCAAATATTTTTTATCTGTTTCTTAATTTGTTTCTTTCAAGTGTACTGGGTGCAGTGGGTGGGTAGCCTTGAATGGGTTACTTCAGTAGAAGAGACTGGTAGTGCCTGAGCTTAAACAGTTCTCTTCAGGAAGGCCTTGTGGGAAAAGTAATTTACAAGTAAATGATGTTCTCCAAACTGTTCTGGCTATACATTAGATGACAGTAGCAACTAAAATACGGCCAAGTACCTTCAGCAGTTGCTAACCTGATCTTGGACTGTGACAGAAACCATCTTTCATTGGAAATGATTGGTCTGATGAAACCCCAACAACTTACTGAAGAAATGGGATATGGCAACCAAGAGAATATGCTGTTGGAAAGCTGGCAGCCATACTGTGTGGTGACTTCCCGACTGTCTAAATGCACTGCATCAGTTAGCTGGCCAAACAGGCTTTGGCAGAAGGTCAGAACATAAACACAGCCGATGGTGCTTATTTACAAGTGGCGTGTATTGCCACATAGACTCTACCAGCAGTGCTATTCCGTTGACCTAGTTGTGCTGGTGATCTCCCTAGCAATTTCTGTGTTTTCCATTTCTTCTGGAAAAGATTATTTCCCTAGCAGCAGTTGTTAGGCAGGAGGTAGCTTCCATCTTCCCTGCTGAAGGTTCAGTAATCAGATTGCTTGTAGCAAAGGTATTGCTTACAAAATAGTCTGAAAGCACTGCAGTTAACGATTGAGGGACGTGGACAACTTGCGCTCTGCAAACACCTGCTTTGCCCTCAAATTTCCTTAAGTAACTGCTGCTTTTTCCCCCTCTGTATCTGTTCTTCTCTCTGCTGTGTCAATGTCCGTCCTTCCCAGCAGTAGTCTTGGCAGATGGAGCCACCATTGTAGCCAATCCTATTAGCAACACATTCAACACAGCTTCTGCAGCAACTACAGTTGTGCAAACCCATAGCCAGAGTGCCAGTGCCAGTGCACCAGCCCAGGGCTCTTCCCCACGCCCGAGCATCCTCCGGAAGAAACCAACCACGGATGGGTGAGTAGAATTGGAGATGACATGTGAAAGACACTTCTGCGCAATCTAGCCTGGCTAAATGGAATCATTTCAGTGGAGATAAGAAAAGTTCTAGCAGATTATTCAGTCAGCAGTCTCCTAGTTCTTGAAAGTGACCTTTTGAGGGAAAGTGGAGTTGAGGCTTTCTTGCATAGTGTACTAAAAACAAAGAGTTCATAATCTACTAAAATTAGAATTCTGTGCTTTGTCTTCAGTGCTTTTCTTGGAAAAATATGTGGATGAGTAGAAAGGACAGGATTAGTACCCTGCTGTGAAATCTGATTAGGAAAAAGGGAGGGAGTAACTTAAACTCTTAAAATATTTTCTGTTGTCTGTCTAATTTGAAATGCCTGAATAAAGAGGCAGGAGACAGCTTTAGCATTACAATGTATTTCCTTCCGACTAATGACTGAAAATGTTTGGAACTGATGTGTCCTATGAGACTAAACTTGCATGTTTATTTATATAAGTGGAAACTTTTTTAAGGTAGAAGAGCTGCAGGCTGTAAAACTGAAATGAAAGAAGCAGAGGTAGACCAGTAAAGAATGTTTCTATTTGAGAGGCTGATTATTTTGGACAACAACTTGACTTCCAGCCCCACAGGAGACTGAATAGTCTCTAAAATACTTTTCTGTGTTCAGCCCTGTGCTGCCTAACATCCACATTCAGGGCTTGAGGTCTTGGAGTCAGGCTTTGACACAGTCTAGTCCAACTAAACGGAGCAGATGCCTGTCTGAGCACTGTTCAGTTCCAGATGATTTGCTCAGTCTTGAAATAGCAGTGGAGGACAGTGGCATGGCCAGACCTCCCTTTGTCCACTGCTGGAGCCTGGCAGTCTCGGTGAGATGCTCTGACTAGCAGGATGACACCAAAGCTGTCATTCTTGGAGAAGCCCTAAATGGGAGTGAGACTAGGCCAGATCAACTAATAATTTATCTTTAAAGACAGTAAAACATAACTTCTAATTTGAAAAGTAAAACAAGGCTCTTTCTCTAGCAAATCAGTTATACTGAACACGGAGTGCAATGATAGAGCTATAACTCCTGTCCTGGTTTGGGCAAGAGAGGGCCGATTCCTTTGCTCTCAGTAGTATTTGATTTTGCATCAGGGAGGTGGGAATCTTCGATCTGTCTGTCTCTTACAGGCTGGCAGTCCGGAAAAGCCTGATTCCACCTCAGACACCTGAAGTAGCTAGCACGCGTGTCGAGAGTACTATGCGAAGCACATCTGGATCACCCAGGCCTGCTGGGTAAGACTTTTGGCAACAATCAACTGCATCCTACTAGTTTCATTATATTTGTTTCATTTGTATTCTCTGGCTATTGGAGTGTTTTCCTTAATTTATTTTGAATTTGTCAGTATGATAACTTTGAACAGACTTGACTAGTTCTGCTGTTGTGAAGCTGAGGCAGTAGCCTTTTAAAAGTTGTGGTTATGAGCTTTCATAGAAACAAACAAAAAACCCCTTTGTTGTTGTAAAGGATAGGCCTTGAAACTTTTTTTTTCTATACTACTTGGAAATTAAATCTGAAGAAGGGTAAATGGAGCTTCTACCCTGCTTCAGTTGAGTTCAGTGGCTTTACAATTTATTGTTCTATAACTATTAGCCACAGTGGGAGCTCTTGCAAACAGAGGATGGCAGGGCAGTACAGCTTTGCATAAAAGTTCCTCTTGTCTGTGTTGTGAAACTGTCTTGATCCTTTTACAAGTATTTTGAAGTTACCTGGAATTAGATTTGCTTGTTACAGTGAGTGGAAAAAAATAGCATCTATAATAAAGACAAAGGATTAGAAAGGGAGTGGAGGAGGAAATGTAATTGAGATGACACCTTCTCCTGCTGTTAAACACATTACTGAGCCAGGTGTTACTTGTGAGTGCTGGAAAAACTGGATAGTCTGAATCCAGCTCAGCTCACTCACTTTGTGCTAGGTGCTCATGACTGAGATGCAGTTAACTTCAGGTTGTTTTGCTTTTTTTATGTTGCAGTGCCAAGCCAAAACCTGAAATTCATGTCTCCATGGCCACTCCCGTTACTGTGTCTATGGAGGCAGTGTCTAATCAAGGCAGCGAGCAGCCCACCGTTGCTGTCCCCCCCACCTCCCAGCAACCCCCCTCTGCCATTCCAACAATCATTGCAGCAGCCAGTCCCACTTCACAGCCGGCAGCAGCTCTGTCCACCATTCCAGGAGCTGTAGCAGCCGCTCCACCAACTTCTACCACAATTGTGGCAGCCCCCGCTCCTCCATCAACCATGAGCGGTGCCCTGTCAGCAGTGTTGGGTCCTGCGGTACCAGAGATAAAAATCAAAGAGGAAGTGGAGCCTATGGACATAATGCGACCAGTATCTGGTAGGTGGTTGTTAATCATCAGGTTGTTTCTTTTGTTGTTGAGACAGTGTAGAAATTAGGAGGATTTCAGCACCTCCATCCTGAAAATGAAACTGCATCTCTTTCATGGTAGCACAGAATACCAGTCAAAGGGTTCCCCTATGCCTGATTAATCATGAAATTCTTCTTTGCCTTCTCCCTAATTTCCCATTCAATCGCTTGTTATTGTGACTGCTTTGTTCATGTTCAAATGATCCAACTCCAAAAAGTCTCTGTGAATTTCTTGTGTAAAATGCAAACGCTGAGCAGCAGTACCAATATATTGTGAATCAGTGAAGTTAATTACAGGTTTCTCACAAATCCTACTGTTCAGGTCGAAGGGCCTTTCTTGTGTGTGAAGAATGAGTGACCAGAGTAGGACTTCACAGGGCCCATCTGTGATTCATGAATATTTTTTTCTAGAACTTTAAAAAATATTCATTATATTGCCTTACTTACCCAGCTTGGCCATAGTTGCTATCAGAGGGTATGATCAATAAAATTCAGATCCTTATGGATCTCAGGTCAGGCACTATACAGTGGCAAAATGGTATGAATGCATCACACTTTCATGGGTTATGGGGTATCAGAGTTCTGCTTTAGTTGTTGGTTTCATCACTCTCCTTAAAGCTGTAGATTGTTCTGTGATGGAAGAAGCTGCTTGCTACAGATGTCTCTGGAGCACAGGCGGGTAGCATTAGGCTTTTCGGTGTTCTCTTGTCTCTTGATGGCAATTGTGAGTATGCCAAATTGTCAAGAGATCCCATCCTAGAAACTTTTTGTTGCAGCCTTAGTCATGGCTGATTGAGCTTTTCCCTCTGAATGTCAAGGAGTGTTCCCTCAAACTACCTGCTGCTGTGCTGCCCAGTATCAGAGTATTAACTTACTGGTACAGTGCTGTTAAATTGGCAGTACAAGTAGGCTCTTGCAAGGAGAGCCGCAGTCCCGATTTGATTGCATGTGACTCTCTACTTACATTAAAAAGAGGAAAGGGACTTACTTGCTATTGACTGTAGTCTGTGCTGGCAGACATACAAGGGTACCTTTTTTTACAGTAACACAAGGCGGATGTTGGTGTGGATTCCTTTTTATAGCATTCAGCTAAAGCTCTGAATGTGAAGGAACTGAGGGACAATTGTCTCTGCTCTCATTCTCTGTGCTCTTGTACACGAGACACTAAATATCTTAGAGTGTAGGCAGTTGCTGCTTGCTTAATATCTGGTCTTCTGCACACATGGAGCTATGCATACAGTACACATACAGTGGAGTCCACGCTCCTCACAACGCTGAAGCAGCAACTACTGTTGGAGGTAGTGTTCAAACAATGCTAGTGTGTTACCTTTACACTACTGATGGTTTGGGTTTTCTCCTTTCCTTCCTCTCAGCAGTCCCTCCTTTGACTACGAGTACTGTGTCTCCATCTTTGGCGTTGCTGGCCAACAACCTTTCAATGCCTCCAAGTGATCTGCCACCTGGTGCCTCCCCGAGGAAGAAACCCCGTAAGCAGCAGCATGTCATCTCCACAGAGGAAGGGGACATGATGGAAACAAACAGCACTGATGATGAGAAATCCACTGCCAAAAGCTTGCTGGTGAAGGCAGAGAAGCGCAAGTCTCCTCCAAAGGAGTATATAGGTAATGTCATCTCTAATGTCTTTTTTCCTATGCAAGTGTCTGTAGTTCTGCTTTCTTTTGTTTCTCATAGAAGGTGCTCTGTCATTATCGTGCTTTGAAAATATAAATAATACAGAATCAAAGTATCAGTTTCTCAGCACTCTGCATAGTGACGTTCAGGGAAAATGACCTTTCTTGACACATAGAGCATCATTTTACATGTAGTAGTGCTTACCAATCTCCTGCTGGCATTTGTGTCATACTCATCTCCTGCACTCACCTGCTTCATGATGATAATAACAGAGTTCTTCTGGATCCTTTTGTAGATGAAGAAGGTGTCAGATATGTCCCTGTGCGTCCAAGGCCGCCTATCACATTGCTCCGTCATTATCGCAATCCTTGGAAAGCTGCGTACCACCACTTCCAGAGATACAGTGATGTCCGGGTAAAAGGTCAGTCTGCTTCTTGTAGTTTGACAGTTTCATTCATTCAGGATGAACCACTTCAGTGTACCTGATAACGATGTCTTAGGAGCATTCTTAGCTAGCTAGTGTTGATAAGCAATCCCACAAAAAGATTTTAATTCCAATTTGGAAGACAAGGGTTGATCAAATGAGCTAATGACTTTGTTTATCTAGATCTTGCCTAAATCTCTTCTGCTGTCATGGTAGAGAAGAAAAGAGGGGAAAAACATTACATAGAGCTAGCTGTAATTTTGTAAAAGAAAAAACCATACAGTTATTGAGCAATGTATTTATGCACAGTGATAGAAACTTACTAGAGAAAGTAATCCTTAAAGAAGTGACATGCTATGGCGATATGCTATGGTTTAGTTTTCAGATTTTCTTACTACCTAAAAAACTTGCAGATTTAATGAGAAACATTCTAGATTTAGTGTAACTAGTCTTGTCAACTAATAAATGGGCAAATGGGCTTTTAAAGAAGAGTTGGGGTTTTTTTTCAATATGAGGAAAACAGACATCAGGTACTGTTTTTTAGGCTTTTTAGATAACATCTTAAGAGATTTTAAGCGGTTGAGTTTTCCCAACTTTGTAAATACATCAAGAAGGGAGTAGATATGTATTTCAGTGGTAAAGGACAGACCCTTTCCTTTTTTGTGCAGGGTGTTGAAACACTGAGCACTACCATTTTAAAATGAGGGGAAAATAAAACAGGATATATTTTTTCTGGAAATACAGATAACCTGTTAATAAGCAAGAGCAGCAATCAGATACATGGCAGATGAGTAGCTCTTTTCCTATCCGAATCAAAATATTGCTTACTCTGATTTATTAAGATGTATGGAGAGCCAGAGTTGGGTTAATGTTTTTGTTAGAGAAGAGAGGCCCAGTGGTCTCCTGAAATTTGAATAACATATCTTTGTATTTCCCGGTGACAGAAGAGAAGAAGGCTATGCTACAGGAGATTGCCAATCAGAAGGGTGTATCCTGTCGTGCACAAGGGTGGAAGGTCCATCTCTGTGCAGCACAGCTACTACAGCTGGTAGGTGAATGGGGCTTGCCAGCTTCCTACGACGTGGGGGAGCACGGAGTTGTGTAAGACAGGAGGATGTTTTTACAAACTCAGTACGTGGTCATCTGACATTGGGATACCGTAAAGGAGCTGGTGTGTAGTGCCCAAAGGGAGTGGGACATGCTTTCCCCTTTCTCAGGAATGTGGCATAAGTGGCTTGGAAACTTAGAGTGTTGGTTTTGATCCAGACATAAGAGCTGATGTATTTTGTACAGATGATCAAAATTGGCAACTTCCTCCTGCTGATGCACAGGTCTGAAGAAGCGTCTGTTTGGGATGGTGCGGCTGATCTGAGGAGGCAGCACTGATCCACATTCCTGGATGCTTCTGTTTCAGGTTGGGGGTGAGGTAGGTGCTCTGCATTCTAGCACCAAACTCCCCAAAACCTCTGCATTCCTGGAATAGCATTGTGAGAAACAGGGGAAACAGTTCTGGTTAGGGTCCATGTTTGTTCAGAAGTGGAGCAATCCTGTAAATAGGATGTTAGTAAGAATGATAGTGCCACACTCTGCATCAGAGGCTCCATCTTCTGAATTACTAACATGAGCAGCTGAGAGGGGAATGGATTATCATCTTCTCTGTGTACCTTTCTTAATGCGGGCGAATGTTCTCTGGCCTAGTGGTGAACCTTCTCATGAAGTGCTAATGTCTTTTAGACAAACCTGGAGCACGATGTGTATGAGAGACTGACTGCCCTGCAGGAGGGACTCATTCCTAAGAAAAAGGCAGCGACCGATGATGACTTGCACCGAATCAATGAACTGATACAGGTAGGCTCCTGTGGCCTCTCAACCCAGCAGAACTGCTTTAATTATAAAATATCCTACTGTGCTTAGCAAGAGCTAAAGCTAGCTTAAAATAAAAACAGCTTACAAAAACCCCACATAGGTACTTTTTCTGCGTTATTAGTGTCATCCGTTACAAGTGCTATTAGGAAAAGGTACAGCGATTGCTCAGATCGCACCGTCTGCTGTTAATGACGATAGTGTTTCATTTCAGGGGAATATGCAGAGGTGTAAACTTGTGATGGATCAAATCAATGAGGCTCGAGACTCCATGCTAAAGGTCTTGGATCACAAGGATCGTGTTTTGAAGCTTCTAAACAAGAACGGAACTGTCAAGAAAGTGTCCAAATTAAAGCGAAAGGAGAAGGTCTAAAGCCAGAATAATGACTCTGGAAATGGAGAACGTGTACAGAATGGAGTTGAACCTTTTTGTAGTTTGGGTTTATTTTTAAGCAGAGCATCTGAATAAAAAGGATGAGTTTAGGGAACAGATGGCAACAGATGGACATGTGAAGCCTGGTGACCTGAAGGGATTGTCACTGTTGTGTCATAATGAACAAAGATTTCTCTCAGGCTCATCCCTTTTTAAAGTCTTTCCAGTCCCATTTGTTTAACCCTCCTGATGTGTCAGTGCCTACTAATTGGAACTAGTGATGCAATGTGTGATGGACAGTGCTCTCCTTCTGCTCTGCAGCTTAGTGGTAAACGTACACAAAGTGTGTATACACCTGTGTATACACTTGTAAGGTGGGAGAATCTGCAGGAGACACCAAGAGGCTGACATACAGGTATCGACCCAGACAGCTGTGCTTCAAAGCATTGAAAACAACACCGCTTTCAGTTACCCCAGTCAGTTCTTGTTCTTCTGACCTTCCAGTGTCTGAAGTAGCCTTCTTAAACCAGTGCCACTGCACTAGATCTGCCTCATTCAGAATCTCCAATGGCTCAGAAGTCCTAGCTGTCAAGTTAAAAGAGGAAGAAAAAAAAAAAAAAAGAAAAAAAAGAAAAAAAAAAAAAGCGGGGGGGGGAAAATAATTTCAAAGTGATTTTGTAGTGTCTCTGTGTGTGTGTGTGTCTATGTTGGTGCTCTGGGATACTTGTTTTGAGGTACCTCTTGCAACAGAGGACTTCCTGTAGCTGGTGTAATGTTAATTGTATGTACTGCATACATCCTGAAAACATTAATAAAGGATTTGGAGGTTTTTGTATGTGAGCAGTTTGTACACATTTGTACTAGTGACACTATTCAACCTGAAAACTAAAAAAATAAAAAGTTAAAGCCTTGAAAGAAGCCTTTTGGGGAGAAGAAACAGAATGTGGGAAAGTAGTCAGTGTCTTGTGCTGCAAAGGGAAGAATAACTTAATTCATATTTCTGCTCCTAAAGATGCGAGATGGATTGCCCCTCATGAACTTGTGCATTTAACCTTAATTTTTTAGATAGGTTGCCAAATCAGTTCATTTTTAGTCTCCTCAGCAAGAGGCTTCAGTTTCATAAAATAATTTGTTTTAAGAATATTTTTTCCTCATACAGTTACAAGGCTGTTATCTTGACTTTATTCAGAACTGAGTTTTTTCAGAAGTTAGATTAGAAATAAATGGTATTTATTAATGGGAATCAAATAAACTGCTAGTTGTTACCTTGTGTTTCTTGTGCTTCAGGAACAGCATGCAGAACTGGTCAAGTATTTGTTTGACATTGTCGTGGTAACCGCCAACACTCCCTGGTCCTGGAGTCTCCAAGAAGCTCCTTCACGATTATAAAGTTGCCTTTTGTAGGGTCAAGGACTGTTTCACGTTGTCAGCAAAGGGCTTTTGGATGAAATTGAAGGCATTACCAGCAAAGGGTGAGGTATTTTGTGGGGAAGGGGGAGGAGGATTTTTAAGTACTGTAGCTGTACTGTAGTACTTGAAAAGATTAAGAGCAACTTTTTTTATTTCCTCCAGGCCATTCTCATCTGCCTCCTTTTGAAAGGTTTCTGTAGTAACCTGAGTTTTCAGAAGCTAGTATTCAAAGCTGTCATCTAGACTAGGGATCCTGCTCTTCCATAACCTGAGATTGGTAATAATTTCAGTGTTGTCCTAGTGCTGCAGAAACCATAGAGGCTGTGTAGGAGAAGGCAATTCCACTGGCATTCCCCTGAATTTCTCCAACTGCTGTTTTCTTGCTTCTTGTTTATTCTTTATGCCTAGGCCAGGGGTGGCGTGCAGAAATTCCCTTGTGCACTGTCTCCCGAGGCGGAACGTGCAGTGTGCTTATCCTGGGGCCTACGCCATCTCCTCTTCAGCCTTCACTGGGGGTTGGGTTGGGTGGGGTTGGGTTGGGTTGGGTTGGG